CCAAAAGACTGATTGCCACCAGCTGAGACAGATGGTTTCCTTTAACTTTGGAAACTGCTATTTTTAATTACTTGTATTAATTTTGCATGAGATGTATCGGCTCCAGGAGGAAGCTTAGAGAAAGCTGTTAGCATCCCTGAAAGAAACGGACACAAAGCTCTGATTTGCCTTTTCTCACCTCCAGTTTTTCTTACCTCAACCTTGCCTGGTCACCTAGACCTCCCTTTGCATGTTCAGCAAAGACATTAGTTTATCCTGCTAAAAGTTGCTACTGTGTAAAAGAGGGGAGGAAAAGAAATCTGAGGACATTTGTGGGAAGCTTTACATAAATGATCGTGGATCCGAAGCTGCAAATATATTTTCCGAGACACTCTGGGGCACGTGCAACAGATCTTAGTCTGAATCTGAATATCTGCAGTCAAATCACTTAAAGGAGAATGAACTTCATACAAATTTTGCCCGGGGGGGGGGGAGGTGGGGGTAGGGGGAAGAACACTCTAAGCTGGTCTCAAAAGATTTACCGCGACACTAGATTACATTTAAAAAATGTTAAACACTTAAACAATTCACATGGCTTTAATAAGTGTGAGCAGCAACCTAAGGTTTTAGGGGAATTCTCCCCTAGTCTACTCTCTTTACAGTTCTTTTTCTCTCAAACAGGAGTTTAAAGACAAAATGTAAAGAGAAAGCGAAGGATGTTTGTGATCCTGCTCACTGCCGCTTCTGGCACTGTCCCTGATGGAAAGTGTTTGCAATATAAAGGGTCCTTTGCAAAATAGTCTAGGAGGTAACTTATCTTCGGATAAAAGACTTTGCCTCTTTGCCAGAGGTGGATGGAGCCGGGGAGGAACTGGGGTTGGGGGAAGTGAGGGGGACCGGGTAAGCGTTTTTTTGTTGTTGTTGCGATTCCCGCTGGGAATTTTGAGGATTAAGAACTCTGGAGTAGATTTAGCAGACTTTCCGATACTACCTGGATTTGCATTTATTTTGCATGAACATTTTGATGAAAGGCAGGCTCACCAGGGCAAGGGAGTGTGTGAAAAGAGAAGTTCAGTGAAGGGTGCGCCCAGAGTTCGGGGCCCTAACCCTCCTGACGGTTTGTCACCAAGGCCGAGTCCTAGCAAAAGCCAGCCTAATTCAAAACAAACGTGTTTCTGTGAAGTAGGACAGCCTTTTTCTTAAAGTCTGTGGAATGAAACGTTCCCAAGAATTGCAGTTTCCGTGTCTTACTTGGGAGGGACAGAAAAAAACTGTCAGGCTTTGCAAACCTTTATCGGCTCGTCTCTGTCCATGGTGCTAATTCCTGCCTCTTTCTCTTGCCCGGTTGCCTCGCTCTAAACTTAACCTTCGTGTCAATTTTCTCGACAACTTTTTTTCTGTTTTCTAAACTGTAGAAGGAAAGTTGACATGCTCCTTTAGGTAGAACAAATAAAAGAGTAATCATCAAGCTATATAATATCTATATTTCTCATGTAGGCATTAAACTGTCACATTTCCAACATTTTGAACGACAGACTCCACCCCCACCCCAAACTGCCCAACAAACTAACACAGAATATTTTTATTCTTCTGAGAGGGTATAATGTTTGGAACTATTGCCCTAAGCCACACATTGTAAACTCACCTAAATAGCTTAACTACTTTATTTACTTTAAAAAAAAAAAGTCACAATAGTAGTTTATAGCATCCTATATCATAAAATGCTAAAATCATACCCCCCTCAACTAGTGTAAGGGAGTTATTTATCCTAAAAGATATTGCCCACAATTGCTTATGAGTATTCCTGTGAATGAGTGTTGTTCCTTTATAGACTTTAGCAAAATAATCTATTGAATTCATTATTTTTCAGCTTTGAGAATTATTCTTTTTGCAACTTTCTCCACATCAAACTTTTTCTCCAAACTTTCAGTGAGTGACCCCTTAAATCTATCCATTCACTGCTGCAGTTCAAAATAATGTTAAGGACTTTGAAAATATATCAGAGCTAAGATGACAGTCATAACTCAAATGTCTTTTAAATGCTTTTCTAATGCAAGTTCGAATGCTGTAGATAATTCTTAACCTAACTATGGATGAAGAGGGGTTGATTACAGTTCCTTAATGTGGAGTGTGATGTTTACATATAGTCTTTATTAATTGCAAGACAGAATATGTTAGTATTTCAGGCTATGACAACATGAATTTCAAAGTGAAATCTACATCCAGATATCACTTATTTTAAATAGGCTGTATTCAGTTTTTATTTTGAAAAGTTGGAAAAATATATGTTACCTAAGGTATATGTATCCATTTAAATGTTTTTAAATTTAGAAACATCTGTTTTATTGAGGAAGGGAACTAGTATTTTAAGATATTTTCAGTACCTTAAATAAGTTAACTCCATTTTACCTATATAGAAAAAAACAACATGTTGAAGATGACAACATTTTGAAAAACATTTGCTCCTCTGCCCAAACTAAAGAAAGCATATATACCCAATCCACAGAATTTAGCATTTTGCATTTGAATGGACAAGTTTACTATTTTCCAAGTAATTTCTTTAACTACATAACACACAAGTTAGATTTTCATCACTCCACACCACACCCAGCTTTCCTTATCCACCCTCCCCCTTTTGGAAAATATACCACCATAATCTGCAAATTCTTGTGGAAACAAACACACATCAAAAAATAAAACAAAGTATTATTTTCCATCCAGTTAGAAGATACTTATATAATTGTAAGTTAATGGTAAAGATTTTCTACAGAGTGCTGAGAATATTACATGAATACATGCAACTAATTCAATATTACGAGCATGTTAACAAGGAGAAAAGACAATTCACTTCATAAATAAGTCTGCATAAACAGTATTATATTTTTATTTAAATTGTATTTATTACTTTAAGAGTTATTTCTCTGTACTGACTAGGGGGTGAGGGGAGGGGTTGAAGGAAGATGATAACAAACACAAACTTCCAACTGTTTATTCATACAGTGTTTAATCTATTTTAGGTGAAGTGGAGTCTTTCTGTCTTTTCCCTTGACTTGTCCTTCCCTCAGCCCTTTCACTCCATTTCCTCAAACTGCTTTTCTTTCTTCCCATGAGTTCCACCCTGGTCTAGAGAATAGCTTTAAGTTGAAATTAGGACCCCAGTCTTGTTGTTATATAAAAAGTGTGGCTGGGGATTAGGACATGGTAATTATAAATTATAAGATAAAAATGCTAATTATAAACTAACATATAGATTCAGGCCTCCTTTTCCAACCCCCTGTTATCGTCATGCAAAGTAATAGAACTTGAACATATTATATGGGCTATACGGGGAGATAAACAGGTCTTCTGTTCTTTGTCATTAATCATTATCCACACTCAAGGAACTCTGAATTACTTCATCCTTCACTTTGTAGTCATTTTGCTTTGTGACTATCTGTCCCTTTCCTTCCATCCCATTCTGACCTCCTGCAATCTCTAACTCTTAACCTGTGCCTCCTTTTTCTGAATTTCAAAGATAGCCACTAGTAGTAAACAGGTAAAGGAATTCCTTTTAGAAAGGCATGAGCATCTAGAGAAGATATGTTACATTGTGTAAGAAACATTAAGTACTATCTAGGAAGTTGGCACTGTCAAGATTAAAAGAAGAAATTCAGGCTGAAAAAGAACCTAGGTCAAGCTGATGTTGTCTCTATTTATACATCAAGTCGATCCTGAGGACCCCGCTTTCACTTGGAGGAAGAAATAAATACCATGCACAAAACTATACTTCAGTCTCTTGAATGTTATTAAAATATGGTATTTAATAAAGTAGTCTTCATCTACAAAGCAGAAGCATTGACAGCACCTGGTCTTCTGGTTAAACTTTCTAAATCCTCAAAGAACCCAGATAAAGGTTCGACTAATCTTTACTGTCAGCAATACATGTGTTGTCCAAGAACTGTACCGCCAGCAAATGCAGAGGAGTGGCTTGCTCTAATTTTATATACAGATGCTCTTTTTGAGTCTCCATATACCTCAAAGTGAAGGACCTTAGCTCTGTGCAGTACCTCTTTTCCTGACAGGATGTTTATCCTACACTTCTCTAATATGAAAGCTAATTCAAACCGTGCAGCTTTATTTGAAAGCATTTCTGAATTCATTCTTATCCTAAAAGGATGCTTTAAAAAATAAACAAGAAAGCTGCAATATGCATATATTAAAATAGAGAAAGACACAAAATTGCTTAATATCTAATACAGAATACTGGAACACAAACCGAAAAAGGCATGCGGGCAAGTAATGGATGTACATTCATCCCTTTCACTCGGATCAAAGAGAGGGAGCTCTCAATGACTCATACATACCGGACAGAGTTTAATGTTATAAAGAAACGTGCCTTAGATGCGGCAGTGATGGCAAGGAAAATGAATCTTTCGGAAGCAGAAAGATTTAAAAGGAAAGAAGATCATGCCATATCGCAAACTCTGATACTACAGTTCCAGCCCTCCCACGTTGCTCTTTCCATCTTTTTGCTTCTTGCATTTCCCTTCGCCGCCTGTGTTAAGTGTGTACCTCCCCGCACAACTTACCTTGAAACGGGACTCCATTGAGCTCTTGAGAGTGACACATGCTTCTAGCCAATCGTATCAAGCGTGCTCGCCCGGGCGGCCCCAATGGAAGCATCTAGACCAATCAGGGTCCTGGGGAGATGAGCAAGTTACGTTGTGGCGCCACTCGGCGTATACTTCCGCGCGTGCTGCCCGGGATAGGAGCCTGGCAGAGCAGCTGCACACACGGCAGTGCGGAGGCAGAGAAGGGGTTGGTGATACGGTGCTATAAATCTGTGGTCCAGTCCACCTCCCTTTTAAGACGTCCTCCCCCCTTATTTCTGTTCTCAGTTAGAGATGCAGCAGCTTACTCCTGTAGCGACCTACTAAAAAGCAACAAGGAGAAAGACATCGTCTTTTTGAAAAAACGTTCTTTCGTCTCTTTTCTTTGTTCCTTCGTTTGTTTTTCTTGCCCCTTTTTGTTTAGTTGAACGGCAATAGGAGGGTAGTCTCTCCGTCTTTTTAAACTCTCTTTTTTAAGTTCCCCCTCCCCTTTCATATTTTTTTTTCGCCATTTCTTTTAGCGTTGGACTTTGGGGTCGAAAACATTTCTTTTTATTTGCTTCTTTTAAGCCGAGCACAGTTTAGGTTTCGTGTTGTCTTAAGAGAACTATCCAGCAGCTTCTTGCTCATCCTTATTGGGAGAACTGCACCGTTACTTTAAAAACACACATACACAAAAACCTTAAGGGAGAAAGGTAAGTTTCGGTTTGGTTTCTTTAATCATTAGTTGCAGCGATGCGCTGGCAAACCCAGAAAACCTGTAAGTGAGCGGAATACAGAATATGAAGTTAATTGCACATGTTTGTCTCATTTCAAAGCTACTGCTCTGCTTTTTAATTCTAGAGAGCTAGACTAAAAGACAGTGGACGCATGCTTGACGTACTGAATTTTCGCAAATGTCAATGGCAGAAACTTAAGTGGTAAATGTGGCTAGAGTAGAGCGGGGGTACAATGAGAGTCTAGGTGTTGAGTGAGCTACGGGATTGAGGTTGGAAGTTCATTTCGTGGGAAGAGAGGGATAACTTGGGTTTTGGGGGATGCATGCCTCTACTTTCGCACAGTAACCAAAGGACTGGAGAGGCTTTAATACCATTGAGGGGAATCAGAAGCCTGGACTTGGAGATTAGACCAGCGAAAACCCCACACTTAATTGCATTAACCAGATAACATGTGCTGGGGAGATGGGATTGCCAGATGGAATTTAGATGCTGCACCAGGCTGCTAGTTGTAGTTGACTGAAAAAGTACATGCCGCCTGAGGGCTAGGGCTGGGCTGGGGCTAGGGTGGGTAGAAGCTGTCAAAACTCAACATTGCTAGGTGTGCGGGCTCTAATTCATGGGCGCCAATTACCGTTATTCTTTTTTAAAAGAAGGTAGCTAATTTAGGGCCGAATTCTTAAGCCTGTACCGGATATGAGATTCCCTTTGTTCAGAAAAGCGTAAATAAGATCCTTGGAGCTGTGTCTGTGGAGTGGCGGCTGCCTGGGAGCCTTGCTGTGCTGGGCGCTGGGAAGTGGATTGCAAGCCCTGTCCTTGGTCCTACGCGGCTGACTTCGCCTTAGGGGCGAGGGGGAACCCCTTCGCAGCCGTGAGGATTCACAGCCACCCCAAGGAGCCAACTCCGCTACGTTGCCCTCACCCCCTTTTTTACCGTCCCCCCCCCCGAATAGCTATTGTTAAACTGACGCCGGGAGAAAGATGGTTGGGGGTGAGAAGCTGGGCAGACACATGCTTCATTTTAACTTTTGTGATTTCTCAGGGTTTGGGAGAAACCAGCTGGCTTTCTGCTGTGGAAAAAGAGAAATCAGGGTAGATGTGGGAAAGGGGGGAGGATGTTCACTGGGCGGGGAGGATCGAGAGGGTGGTGGTGGCGGTGAACGAGGTGCTGCCTTTGCCTAAGGGAAGTTTAAATTATTGGCACGAGGGGGTGTGGGTGAGTGTGCGTGAGAGCGCCGGTGTGGTGCTTGACATGGAGAGAATGGGGAAAAGGTACAAAACCGGCCGGGGGTTGTTAATTTCACCCTGCTCTTCACCCCACCCACCCTCCCGGGTCTAAAAGCCAACTTGCGGCCAGCCTCCAGACTCGACTCTGCCATCTCCGGGGCGGTGGGGTCTGGGGAAAGCAAGGTGGCAGTGCCCTGCACGGGAGCTCCGCGGCGAATAGGACCTCGCGTGGCCATTGTTGCTTAATTTATGCCCAGCACGTTGCTACGTACCCACCTATTTCACGTCTGTAAAGAATTAATATGAGAGCTATACAACTGTGGCAAATTGGAGGTTGGATACATTCCCCGTTTGCCATTTTCAAGTACGGGTTAGCGAAACTGATGTCGAGACTGGGTATTTTCTCTTGTAATTGCCAGCTGCAGATCTGGCTTTATTGTGGCCAGAGTGAGAGGAATAGTCAACCATTTAGTATTTACTTTTAACACTGCTGGGATGGGATGAATGTCTTACTTTCTCCCCGAAATGCACGGGTTCTTTCCCCGCCCCCACTCACAAACACTCTTGTTGGTTAAGAGTGTTTATTGGTTAAGATTTTAAACCTTTAGCCCTTCCCCACATATCTATTTATATATATATATATATATATATACATATATATATATATATATATAAATACCCATCCTCTGGATGTTGGGAATAGGAGGGAGATGGAGATGGTTTATTTCTTAGGCCTACACTGCAACCTATAAAATGCAAACTTAAAGTGGGGGGGAGGGTAGAGTACAGAGCAGACAATAGTAACCGAATAAATTATTTTCCTAATTGGAAATAAGTTCCTAAAGGTCAAGAAAAAAGTGCATGTTTTAGGGGTGGTAGAGTAGAAAAGCTGTTTGGGCCTGTAAGACTTCCTTCGTAAAATGGCTTCTTAAATGGGACATCTGAAACGTTTGTCAGAATCTGAATAAATAAGTCTGCAAACCCAGAAAATGTTGATTCTTTAAAAGTCACTTTTTGGAGGATTTAAAAAAGTAACTATCTCTCAGTTATTATTGTCATTCCCTGAGTCTGTCTTACACCAATCACTCCTGGGTTCTTCTTCCCTCTTTTAACCAAGTGCTTAGGCACCCCATTTTAACCTGTTCTGGAGTTCTCCAAGAAAAACTACAACGTTTGCAGGTCGAAGTGGATTGGAAGACTTGGGGAACTCTGTAGAGAGGTCTCCCGTAACTTGAAGAAGTCAGCTTCAGGAAGTAGGGCGTAGGGCATTCTAGGAGTTTTAGGCTTGGATTGGCAAATGTGGTAGGCCCATTTTTGCCTAACGTTTGGAAACAGGCATTTTTAGCAATCCCGCCTGCCTGGGATGGGAATATTATAATTAACTGTTTAGAGGGAGTTCAGAGAGGCGCAGGCGCTTTGAGCAGTTTTTCCAGTAACCCCGTACAAAGTCAATTAAGGTCGTTTAATTGCTAATCGGATTTGGGGTGACAACAGAAATGCTGGTATAGAATCAATTAGCTATTTCTGGTGTCCCCAGTCTGGGTCCCCCAAATTGAGGGGTGGATTGTCTCCATTTCGATTATGGTTAAACCCCTTACTTTACTACGCCTGATTTGACTTCGCCCAAGAGGGCAATTTTGCCTCCTCCACCCCCGCCCTGGGTTAAAGGAGTCCTTCCTCCATTCTCGCCCCCCCAACCCCGCCCCGCCCGTCGCGTGGGGGCGGGGAGCGCTGGGCGCCCTTAGCGGACCTTGCTGCATCAAACCCGCATCATGCCCTTGAAGCTGTAACCTCGGTCACGTTTTTGCGGCGACTCAGTCGCCCACTGCTCAGTTCCTTTCTCTTACCTCCTGCGATTTCAGGTAGGTACGACAGGTGATATTTTAAGTGCAGTTTTTAAGGGGGAAGGGTTAAAACAGAAGCCTTTGCAATGAAAACCACCACAACAACACGACAGGTGCTCTCGTAATTAAGCGGCTGAGCAGGTGTAAAAACGTGCTCCCACCGCGTGGCTCGGGGTCGGTTTTGACTCCCAGTCGCGGGGCTGAGTCTGAGGACAGGCACAGGTTTTTCTGGGGAAAGGCGATTGAGATGGGCGTGGGGGCGGGCCAAGGCTAAGCAGCGATGTGACGCCCCCCTCGGTGAAGAGTTGGCCATTTCGGGTATAACGTGGGGGGCGTTGGAGGGATGCGGCGAGCGGCAGGCTCTTGTATAGTCGAGTGCAGGATTTCCTACTTTGCGTTTGAAGCAGAGTATAGCACCCCGCACAGGTACTCGGGCTTATTTGAACGTCAGATTCCATCGAGAGAGGCAGAGAGGGGCAGCCAGGGCTAAGCCTTTAGTTTTCCGACAAGGGACAGGACCCTTCGGCTGTGAAGTAGGGGGTAAAAGAACCTTTTAACTGCTTGCAATATATGTGTATGTACGTATGTGTATATATTTGATACACATATACATCAAAGTAACCCCCGCGCGAGTCGCTCTGGCTCCCCGTTAGCGCCCGGAACCTCGGGGTTTGCAAACTTGCACCTGGAATCTACCGCCTCTGGGCGCGCGACGCTCTCCGCGCTGCCAGGGTATCCTGGTCCCAGAGCTTGCTCGGAATCGGAAGACGGGAGGGACCGAGCCGAGCCGCCGCAGCCGGACGTCCTCTCGCAGGCACCGACCCGCGGGCGGCCGGGCAGGGCACGCGCCGGCGGCAGCAGTCGCGGCGCCGCTAACTCGCCGCCGGCCCCGCCTCCTGGCGCTCTTCCAAGCAAGCCCCTCCTCCCCGCCCCGCTACAAACGGCGGGACCGCGGCGCCTGGGCGTCACTGAGGCAGCTGCCGGCCGGGTGAGGAGGCCGGTCGCCGGCGCGACGCGGGTAAGGCGGGGGTTTCGCCGGGTTCCAGTCCGCCTTCCCGCCTCCGCCAGGACTGGGGACGCCGCCGCCGCCACCGCCTCTCCGCGGAGCCCGCCCGGAGCGACTCCTCCGCGTCTGTGCTGACGGCTGGCGGCGCAAGCCGTAGTAGCTGCAGCTCCGAGCCGTAGCAGGCAAGTGCGGGGGGTGTGGGAGTGGGGGCGGGGAGGGCGGGCACGCGGCGCCTGGCCTCGGGTCTGTTTTGGACGCCGAGGCTAAGGGCTGTGCGCGGCGCCGCGGCGCCGAGCGGAGGAGTCCGCTCGGTAGGAGCCCTAGTCCGGCCTCGGGCGGGAACGCTGGCGGGGGTGGCGGAGGTTGTGCACGCGAAGTTCCCAGAGCTCGGCCCCTTGCGGCGGGAGTAGAGGGAATTGGGCGCCTGGGGAGGTGGCACCGCCCCTCCTGTGGGCACAAGCTGGTTGGGGGCGGCGGGAGCCGAGCGGGGCCAGTCGCGCCAGGCAGCGTGCTCAGGCCTGGACGTGCCCGGGTACGGCCGCGTGAAGCGCGAGGAGAACTGCGCCGAGACGCAGGTGAGTGCCTCGGGGGGAAAGTGGGGGGAGGGAGGGTTTTTCTAGAAAAAGGGCAGGATTCTTGTGGCGGACTGGCAGTCCCGCCTGTGGGAGGCTGTGTGCACTGGGTTCTCCAGTCGGATGGTGTTTGGTGGCGTGCCCACTTGGTACGGCGCCTCCTCGCGCGTGGTCCTTGGAGCTCCTGGGGCGTCTGGAGACTTGGAGCGGCCACGCAGTGTGCGGAGGTGGCATGGGACTGGGAGCGGCCAGGGCAGAGCAAAGAGGATCCCCGGGGCGGCTCGCTCTCTTGCGCGGTATTAGGTGAGGCCGGGCGCAGCCGCGCGAGGT